GAGGTGTGTACAGCGCATGCAGGAAAGGGTGCCTGCTCCGCGACCGCCGTCTTGAGCCGCGGCGCCGCCGCCTCCCAGGCCGCCGCCTGAGGGCTCAGGCTCGCTTGCGCCTCCTCGCCCTCCACCGCCATCGCCTCAAACCGCCCCTCCTCCCCCTCCTCCTGGTCGTCCTCCTCCTCCTCGCTCGCCCCGCCCGCTGCCCCCGCCGCAGCCCTCCCCCCCCTCCAGCTCCGGCTCCGGCTCCGCGGCGCGTCGAGCGCGGCCGCCGACGCGGGCAGCAGGTCGTGCAGGACGCGGGCGTAGCTGCACACGCCCTCCCCCCCCCCCTACGCAATGGAGCACGCCGAGGTCGGGGCGGGAAGACGGTACTTGCGCGGTGTACTCCGACCACTGGCGTGCGTGCGACGCGACTATGCGTACAGCGGCTACGGCGGGACTACGGTCTTGGCTACGGTCTTCTGAGCGCTGGTCGGAATACGAGAACACATGCGGTGCTGGCACACCTGTGAATAGAAGAGCTGTGAATAGAAGAGCTGTGAATAGAAGAGCTGTGAATAGAAGAGCTGTGAATACGAGAGCACATGCGGCGGAGGACAGCGGACGACAGCTGGGCACATGCTGGGACTACGTGTCGTCTGCGCGCTGGTTGGCACACGCGAGTGCGACTCCCGCTTCTAGGCCCCTCCTCCTCCCCCTCCCCGCCCGCGCCCTGCCCGCTCGCGGCGACGGCGCGCTGGAGCACGCCCGACGCCTCCGCCAGCGCGACAAGGTTGGCGCAAACGCACGCGGCCAGCGGCGGCGAGAGCGACAGCGGCGCCGAGGCGGCGGCGGCGGCGGAGGGAACGGCGGCGGAGGGAACGGCGGCGGAGGGAGGGGCGACGGAGGGAGCGGCGAGCCGGCGGCGGCGGCGGCGCGTCGGCGACGTGCAGAGGTTAGCGGCGGCGGCGCGCGCCTCCCATGGTGTCGCCGTGGCGAGGGCGTGCGCGGCGCTCCCGGCCGCAAACCGCTTTGTGGCGTCGGAGTGCGAGGCGGCGCCTAAGGAACCAAACAGTGAGGCGCATGTCGTGAGGGGTTTGCTGTGTGGCGTCCGGAGTGCGAGGCGGCGCCGCCGTCGGCGGGCAAGTCGGCTGGCAGCGGCGCGGTCAGCGCGGCGGCGAGCGGCACAAAGCTCGCGCCTGGAGCAGGCAGTGGTGGTGGGGTGGGGTGACGACAGGCGAGGTCGTGCGCCTTCGGGCCCGAAGCTGTGCCTTTGAGTGAAGAAAGGCTCTACTCTCAGCGCGATACGGCGGCGACTAGGGTGCAGGATGGCTCGCCAAAGGCGGCGGCGACGCACGCGGCGGGCAGGCGGGCGAGGAGGGCGGGACAGCCGAGCAGTTCGCGGGCAAAGCTGGCGGCGGAGGCGGACGCGGCCGCGGCGGGTGCGGCGGAGGCGAGTGCGGCGGCGAGGCAGCGCGAGCTGAGCAGAAGCAGCGCCTTGACGGTTCACAAGGCAAGGGTCAGCTCAGAGGAGTCAAGGAATGAATCATGAACTGCTGTGCGTCAGCGGCGCCTCTTGTGAGAGAGTGTGTGTGTGTGAGTGTGTCGCTCCAGCGTGCCGTCGTCTTCTGTCTCGCGTCCTCCCATACTGCGCCGGTGCCCAGTCCGAGCCGCTGGCTGTTCTTCGCCTTTTCTATCTACTCATTAGCGCCTCGACGACAGCAGTCGGCGGCGGCGGCGGCGGCGGCGGCGCTGGACTAGCGGAGGACCGGCCCTCGAGCGAGAAGGGGAGTGCCACGTGCAGACACGCCGCCACGCCGCCGTGGATGCCACGTCTCCCGAGGTATCGCAGCGCAACGGCCTGCGGCGGCGAGGCGGCGGCGGCGCGAGGCGGCTCGTACTGTTGTACACTACTGGATTGTGTTGTAGTCTAGTCTGGTCTACTGCGAGCGGCAAACGGAGGGAAGCGGGGAGGGGGGGGGGGGGGGGAAGGGGCCGAAAAAGCGCTTTGCCCACACCCATGCCTTGGCAGGCGTTGTGGGGTTGTTGGTTGGGCTCCCTGCACCTGAAACTCGACGGCGCCCTGAGTCTCCACCGCGGCGGTGCGAGGCCCGGTGAAAAACACCCCGGCCCTCAGCTCGAGGGGGAGGGAGTCGGTGGCGGGCGGCGCAGCGGATCCGAAGGCGGGAGCGGCGGAAGACGCGACCGAGCCGGCAGAGGCGGCAGAGCCGGCAGAGCCAGCGGCGGCGGCGGCGAGGCGTTGGAGACAGAGGGCGACGAGCGACGCCGTCAGCGACGGCGTGAGCGAGGCGCGGAGCAAGCCGGACGAGGGCGCGGCCGCTGCTTCGGCTGCGAGTGCCTCCACCAGCGCGCCCAGCAGCCACGTCCGCCGGCCGTCGTCGAGCGGCGCCGCGTGGAAGAAGAGGAGCTGGCGCACGAGCGACGCAAAGCCGGCGGCGAGCGACCCGCCGACGCCGGGCTCGACGCGCTGAGCCAAGCTCGCGTCCACGGCGGCATCAAACTCGGAGCGAATCGCCTCGCGCGCCCGTGCGAGCGCCATGTGAGCGCGGGCCGCCGACTGGAGCAGCAGCGCGGCCCGGAGGAGGGCGCGCTGCCGCTGCCGCTCGTCGCGCTCGCGCTGGGCGCGCGCGAGGAGGAGCTGGCGGTCTGAGGAGGAGCTCTTACCGCGTAGATTGACCTTGGGCTTGTCGTCAAAGAACATACGTGCGGGAGCAGGGGCTTGAGCGCGGCGACCCTGCGACCCTGGTCGCGGAAGCGTCTTTCGTGGGTTCGCTCTGCAGACGGGTCGGTACCACATATGGGGGTTCTGCCAGGCACAGGCACAAACAAACAAAACACAATGTGTGAACACAATGTGTGAGTGTTAGAGTTGTTTTCAAACAAATCGGAGTCAGGCTCCCACCACAAGACCACGCACGCATCATCCCGCGGCCTGGTGGTCGGCGGGATTGCAACCAGTCTTCGCGTGCCGCCTGTCGTTCGACTCGGGCGCCTTGAGCAGGGGACGCGGCTCTGAGCGCCCAGCGACGCGTGCCGGATGGAGTCCGGCCGCGGTGACTAGGGAAGTTCGCTCAGGTCTCAGGATGTGAGGCAGCCCTGTTGGCTGAGTGTCTTGTCTTGTGGTTCTGTGTGTCGCTCCTGTGTGACCGTCACCGCCCGTCCCGCGTTCACCCATACCGCGTTGGTGTCCCAGTCGTTGGTCGGACTGTGTTTCGCCTTCCTCTATCAATGTATGTTCAATCACTCAATCTACCTCAAATTTAGATTGCTTTCAACAACGGGTGGGTTCCGCCAGGCACAGGCACAAACAAATCGGAGTCAGGCTGGAGTCAATTATCAGGGCACTTTGGGTCAGACTGGGGGGGGGGGGTCTGGGGTCGGATCGAGCTCAATGTGCTCGTGAGGAGGTGCTCAGGTGCTGGCCGCCTCCGTGAGGATACCTGGTTTGTTGTTGAAGTTGAAGTGGGTAATCCTGCCTTTGACCGAATGGCCCTCGGAGGTGCCTTGGGCGTGCTGTCGGGTCCGCCGCGCGCTCTTCGTGTGGCCGTGAACGAACTCAGAGTCAAGCGATTGCGCGAAATCCCTCACTGGTGGATTTTGAGGCGCTGTGTGCCCCCTATCACTGGGCGTGTGAGGTCTGTGCAGCGCCCGCTTTCTACCTCGCCAGCCGCCACCACTGTCGAGAGTGCGGCATGAGCGTGTGCGACAAAGAATGGCCGCAGTGCAAGTCGGCCGTGGCACGACAGTCACACCTGAGCGGGCTCAATTTTGCTCTAGGTGCCGCCTTCGATTCGATCCCGTTCAGACAGGGGCGCTGGTGCGTTGTTCGTTCTCGTCATTGGCGCCAAAGGAATTCCGCCAAAGGATATCCACCTCGAGAGCCTCGAGAGAGACGATAGGTAAAAAGAAATTTTCAACGAACTCTCTCACCTGTGAGTGAATGTGAGTGAGTATTCTTGATACGAAACCACGACGACACACACCAGTCGACTCGCATCGGTTGCCTCCCTGAACGGCGGAGCTATTCTCGCGCCCACACCACACCTGGCTCCAACGTGGACACGCCCATAGCTGGGGACACTACTAGGTCACGCATGGCATCACAGAAGTTTTATCTCTGGGCCCCGAAAGGCATCTCTAGCAGTGTCGTTACACATGCCCCCTCCCCTCCTGGGCGCATGCGCCTCACGTCTCGCCAGAGCATAAGCCCTTGGCGTGTGGCGAGACGAGTTTTTCGCCATCGCCGCGAGCAGCAAGCCGCCCGCCGCAAACAGCCGGAGGCCTCGCCGCGGCACTGGCTGCGCCGCGGTCCCGCACCCGTCGACGCAGCTCCCCCCGCAGAAGACCGCGCGTAGCGACGTCTTGACGATCGAGATGAGCGTGCCTGAAGCTCGCCCACCTACTGCCCCTGAGAGTTGGTTATTGAGTGGGATCAGCTCCCCCCCTTGGGATCGAAGCCGCCACAACCTCACACCCAACATCCCAGGCGGGATCAGAAGGGGACTCCACACCGGACACCGCCCGGGCACAGCCCCCCTACCCGTCGGATCGCACAGAGGGCCCCCTCGGAGCAGCCCACACACAATCACGCATCGGCAGATTGAGTGCCTGAGTCAGGCAGACAGCACAGACAAGAGGAGAGAGACCGGCCGGTCGGCCCTCGAGACCTCACAGTGGCGGCCGCCTCTGACAGCGGCGCAGCCTCCCAAGCTGGCCACGCATCATGCTGCGCTTCGCGGCAATCGCGTAACGGGAGGCTCGCTGGCTTTTTGTGGCTTTTTGGACGGCTTTTTTGGATTCTCCCGCCCTCCAACCCCTCTCTTGGATTTTTTTTGGTAAACCG